TTCGTCTCCATCTTTCCCCTGGCCCACCTCCCCACTGTCCTCCTAGTGATCCCTGGCTCAGGTGTGCTTCTGGGGCACCCAGCCTCAGGCAACGACACACCGTACGGTGGGGGTCAGGAAGCAGACTCTCAGAAGACACCTCGACCTTGGACTTCCAGCCTCCAGAACTGTGAGAAGATTTGCTGTTTAAGTCACTTGGTCTGTGGTGTTTTCGTCCCAGCCCCTGAACTGAGACAGGCATACTCAGTCGAAGGAACCTTAGAAAACAACGAGATATCGACTCGATAATTCATACTAGGTAGCACAGACCTGTCCAGCACGGAAAGGACTGAACCCCACTTTCCTACTCACTAGCTCTGTGATCTCGACCGGTTTATTTAGCAGTCTCGATGCGCTTCAGTTTCTTGTCTGTAAAATGTGGATTTAATATTACTCTCTTACCTTGGAAGATTGCCTAAATGATTCAATGACACAATGTAAAGTTCTGGAAATAGGGTCCACAGTAAGCTCTAAATAAAGTTCACTTTCCGGTCAGTACTGTCTTTCAGGAAACATCTTGGCATTGAACTTGAGAGTAGGATTCTCATTTAAAATGAAAGGAGGTAACAAATTAACATGTAGAAGAAGTGTTTTGCCCTAACCGCTACCCCAGGTTCTGAAGTGCCCCACCCACACCCACAACCCCAAGCGACTCCTGTCTCTTATGAGGTGTGTCCCCCCATTTCCCCATTTTACCATCTGGACAGAGAAGTCTCAGCACCTCGGTTTTCAGATGCTTTCGGAAATGGTTGAGCTCCAAAATATAGGGGAGAAAAACATTGCAAAATTAGAATCAATAAATTTTTAATTAAACGTCTAGAAAACCTAGTATGTCAAGTTCATTAATTGTTCCATTTAGTCACCATAAAAATTTCATTACACTTAATTATATTTGAAACAAATTTATAGGTGAAATCATTTCACTTTGCAAGAATTCCCAAGAATCCTGGACACTCAGTGGAGAATTTTCGGCCGATTGTAATTAAGTGAATTTCTTGTAGGCAAACAATTTTTAAAACAAAATTATCAAAAAATCATTTAATTATAAAAGTTAGATATGAATTCATTTTACTATAGTTGCTGAGATATGGGGAAGGGCTTTCTGAAAAGCATCGGTGGGGGAGGAAGGGGTGAGAACAGCCCAGGGCTGGCCACGTCCCCTCTCCCCATGCCTCCTGCCTCCACTTCTCCAGCACACGAGGCCACCTTCCAAATCTCCATCTCGCCTTAGATCAGAATCTTCCAATGGCCCTTCCTCTGCCCCTGGGGAGAATTCCAAGTTTCTGCCACGCCCTTCAATACCTGGCCTCTGCCCATCTCCCTAACTCATGTACCACCTGTCCAGGTCCCCTTCACTGGCCAGCATTGCTGGGAGTGGTGGTGGGGACCCGTGACTCAGCCTGAGCCACCTGTCAATCCCTGGATAGGGCACTGTGGTCTCTTCTGCAGTCGGAGTGGGAAGTGGGGCCGGGAACCAGTGAGGAAGGCTTTCTCCTGCCACCCTCACCCCCGCCACCCCTCCCCCCCACACACACACAGGCACCAGCATCACGTGGCCTGCGATAAAGAAGGCACAACGAATCATTTGGTGAGTGACCAGATGAATAAATGGGATTGCTCTGTCCCCTCAGAGACACCTGGAAATCAGCTAGTGACGCTATGACTAGCTCCTGTTTACCGCGCACGCGGTACATGCTCAGCGCCCTGCTGGGTGGGATCTGTGGTGCCAGACAGATCTCTTCTAACTTGCATGACAACCCCACAAGGTAGGTTCTGCTATGAGAGAGAAACTGAGGCTCGGAGGGAGTCGTGACTCGCTCCGGGCACAGAGTAGGGGCGTCAGTCCAGAGCCCCAGGCCTGTCTGACTCCCGTGGACACGGATGAACCGCGGAGGCCACCAAGCTGTGCCGTGCAGGGCAGCGAACAGAGCTGAGGCAGGCCCCGTGAGGTGTCACCGCGTCTGCCGCCTTCCACGCAGCCGCTCTGCCTGGTTTTGTGTCCCTCCCTCTGCTCACAGCTCTCACAACCTTGCACAGTCCCTGTCCCTCTCTGGCCACCTCTGGTTCTCTGACCTTTGCCCCTGGCCAAAGACACGTTTATAATGCACGTTTGGTGCTTTCTCACCGTTCACTCCCACCCCCGAGGTGTTCACAGAGGCGACATGAAAACAGCATCCAGCCTGCCCGGTGGAAGGGAGACTCGGTTTTGCCAACGCAATGCACAGTATAAATATCTCTCTTTTAGAAGAGAAAGAGAGAAGTTTAAAGACTTAAGCTCTGGAACATGTAATTATCATCTGGTTTAGATGGAGAGTTCTAATAGTTTCCAGAAAAACGCAAGTCGTGAAAAAGGAGTGTGCTTTCTGAGGTAAAAAGAGGTTTGGTTTTCCAGCAGACAGTGGCGCCATCTTGGAACCCCTGTGACCTTTGAGGCCCTTCCCAGGCAGAGTAAGGAGGCACTGGCACCCCACCTCCTGTCCCCTCCCCTCTTGCCGTCCACACTGGATGTCAGGCTCTGAGAGCCTGAAAACTGCCTTGAACTCGGCCTGAGACCTGCTCAGTAAATAGGTCCCTGTGAATGGCCATACCTAAAGGCTCAGAGGAGGTGTCCTCGCTCCTTCTTTGGGGGAACGGCAAAGCCTTGCAATGGCAGGGACAGCTAGGTAGCCTCCAATAACTGTTGTACCCTACTTTTAAGTAATGGAACCCTCAATTTTAGCTGAGTGCATTGTGGCCCAGCCTCTCCCTTGCCAGGCGAATAGGATGTCAGTGGATTAGCTGAGTGCATTGTGGCCCAGCCTCTCCCTTGCAGGCCATGAGACGAATAGGATGTCAGTGGGATGTGTGTGCAACTTGCAAGTCTTCCCAAAGAGGAGATACCTGCCTTTCTTCCCTTTCCTCCTTCCTGCTGGAAGGAATGCAGATGTGACGGCTGGAGCTTGAGCAGCCATCGTAAAGCAAGGCCAACCTGCAAATGGAGGCCATGAACAGCAGGGCAACAAGATAGAAGGGGCCTTGGCCTTGACACTATGGCTCGCCACACCAAACCTGGACCACCTACTGGACAAAGAAAGAAGCGTCCGGATTGTTAGTGAGCATCTACTGAGTGTCATATAGATATACCTTCTCTTATTTATTATCTCAACTTTATAGGTAAAGAAACGGGCACAGAGAGGTGGCCTCCAATAACTGTTGTCCCCCACAGCTAGGGAGCCGTTAGAGCTCAGAGCCAACTTGCCCTGAAGAGGAAGGCAGAATCCCGGTCCAGGCGCAACCCCCCTCCCAGCGCACTCAGCCGCTCTGGCATGGCGGCTCCTGCCGCAGGTGGTAGGGACCACTGGGAGCCAGCGGGGAGGCCTCAAGCGGCTTCAGGATGAGATGGGGGAGTGGGGGCCACTGGAGACAGGAAGGGGCCATCTAAACACTGCCCAGGTGATTATGAGGGTGCCAGCCTTCACCCCGAAGTACAAATAGTCCTTCCAGAAGCCAGATGGCCCCTCAGGATCCAGCTGGGGTCCCTTAGGCTGACCTGCAAGCCCACCAGGCCACACCATAGCGCTTCCACACTGCGGTCAGCGGCTTGCGAGAAGGAGCCTGAGCAGGAGGGGCCAGGGAGGCAGGGGAGAAGCGGAGGGCACTCGGCCAGATGGAGTCCTGCATTTTTCGGGGCGGGGGCGGGGGTGATGGGTGGGGTCCCTGCTCCACCAGAGGGACCAGGTAGAGGTGGGCCGGGGCCCAGGCCCGTGAGCGAGCGCCACCTGGTGGCCAGTCGCGACATGGTGCCTCCCAGCGTCCACTCGGGTTCAAGCCAAGCCCCCTCCCCAAGGACTCCTCCACAACCTTCCTCAACACCAGCGACGACCCCTCATTTAAAATTCATGTTATCGGTTCATATAGAGATGCACGTGTCTTCGATTTCACGTAGAACAGGAAGAAAGCATTGTCGTGGTTTCCTGTTTTTATTGAGTTGTCAAACACGGCCCCCGCCGCATGCTAATGACTCCTCCTGGCCGGCTCGGCCCCGCCGCAGAGATTCGGATTCCATTGGTCTGGCTGTGGACCGGGCGTCGGGACTTTTCCTGCCTGCTTCGCAAAGGCAGCTTGGGGACAGCATCTGGCCCCCCTCTACCGCCACTGTTTTCACTGTTCCCCGCCCCTCCCTTTGCAGAGATGCTGCGTCAAGAGTCCCCGAGGCCCCCGCCGCTGGGACCCCAAGTCCAGGGCCTTCCGGAGCCGAGGTCTTGACCCTTGGCTGCCTCAGTGCCAGTGACCCCTCCTATTACCTGAAAGAGAACAGTGGCTCTGAACTGCTCAGGGGTCACGGGCCTGTTTTGGAACTTATGAAAGCGATGGGTCCTTTCTCCAGGACGCATGGGGGCCGGCTGTGCTTATGACTAGATGACACCGGAGGCTCTGGCTGCCCGACTGGCTTCACCCGTAGCCCCCTCACCACGACGTTCATTCGCCCTGCTTCACAGATAAGTAAATGAGCGCACAGAGAGGCTAAATAACTTGCTCAAGGTTGCATGGCCACTAAATCTGGGGGCTGGGTTAGAGCCCAAACATCTCTGTGGCCTTGGACAAGTGATCTCACCAACTCAAGCCTCAGTTTCCCCTCTGAGAAAAGAGGCCAGTACCAGTTCCTACCCCGTAAGTGAGTCAGGGCACAAGAGATGGGAGAGCACATAGTAGGTGCGCATTAAAGAGTCGTCATATTGATCCGCACATGACCACAGGGCTCCCATCCACCCAGGAGTCTTGGCCTCTCTGTGGACAGTCAGGGCAGCCATCGGTGAGCACCCGGAAGTTTGAGGGAGCCCCCGGCCCCAGGGGTGCTCAGGTCTTACCAAGGTCAGCTTCTTCCGACAAACGTCTAGTCAGGGGCCCTCACTTCCTCTTGCTCATCAATTCTGCTTTCGGTTTTATTTCTTTGGAAAGCCAGGCCCCCCCTGCCCCGCCCCGCCCCATACACACTTCGTGCATGCCAGTCCTCTCTGTTTCCGGAGTGTGAACAGCTGACATCTGTCCCGTTGAAACTGGTCTCCCTTTTACAGCTGCCAGAAGTACCCGACTCTGCCACACAGGGACACGGAGGCTCAACCCGGCCCACCCTCTCAAAGCCACAGTGCAGGAGTCTGCCGCGGCCCCTGCCCAAGTCTCCTGGGGCTCCCAGCAGCTGCTGTCAGCATGGCAGAGGGCCCTGCAGACCTAAGCAACACAGGTACTTCTTTTCTTCTAAGGGCCAGTGGGGGTCTGGGCAGGACTGGCGCTTCTCTCTCTCTCTCTGGCTCCTTCGCTTGACCCAGATTACAGCTACGATAGTGACAGTGCCCGTTAGCGCACAGTGACGTCCGGTCTGGGAGGCTTGCTCTGCCCCAGGCGCCTGGCCACACTCTTGCCACACAGTCAGTGTAACCTCAGCGGTAAGCACAATGATGTCCCTATCCACACATGAGATCATCGAGGCTGTCGGGCGAGAGGCTGACACGGGGGCTGCGCCCCAGCTGCACACTCATTCTGAGAAACAGAAGAAGGCGCTTTGATAAGGGGGTCCCATTTCCCCCGCGGGGTCCCGGGCGGGAGAGCCCGGCAGTGAGCAGCAGTTGCTGCCTGCATTCTAGGGCTGTGGCTAGGGGCTTGTGGGCTGTGGGCTGAGGGTTTCGAGGGGGGATTTTTTGGTTGTTATCATTAGCTCACTTAATCCTCACCACAGTCTTTGAAGTAGCAGCTCTTATCCCCACTTGGCAGGTGGAGAAATGAGGCACAGTGAGGTCACACGGCTGGGAAGTGGCAGAGCCGAGCTCGGGCCTGCGAAACCAGCCATCGGAGAACAAACATGGGGAGGGGTGTGGGGTG